GAAATTTCTTTAGAATCTCGTTCTCAAAATTTCTATTAGGAAAGTCATCTGATCAGTCACTTATGGGACCAATGAAGTTCAAGATGTCTGGATGCCCATCTCTGTCCTCTGTCGAATGGTGAAAACCGAAAGTTTCTAGCTTGTACCTATGAAAAAGCTATTCAAAAAAGAACCAAGTATCTTATATTCTGGCGCCGATAATAGTACCCACAATATCTAATGAATTTCTTGTATTCATTATTTTACGATTTAATCAGCTGAAGATTGCTGCTCATTTAACACAATAACGTAAAACTGAAAATCTTCTTAAAGAATTTAACCAATTCAAATAGATTAATATTCGATATGTCATTAAGCTTTTCTTTCATTTCATTTTATATCTATCTCATGAGTAAGCAGTCTGCCGGTGTGTTATTGTGTTCAAGAACTATTTTAATTTCAAATATTAAAAAAGAAATCATCCATTGACTTTAACTTCTGCTTGATCTTCAATTTTACTAGTTTCATCAAGAATTGTGCGCCCTCTTGCATATCGACTTAGTTACATTCGTCCGTTCTTCTCCAATCTGTACTTTAAAAAGACACAAGTGTACAAACATCATTGTTTGTATCACTCTCTTTATATTGTTTTTAGTACAACGAACTAAGGATACCGTTTTTGTTTCTATGTTGAAAACCTAGAATTCAATGGCCGATGCTATGGCACATGATAATATCACTCAGTACGATTGGAATTCCACATCTTTATGTTCCATATGTTCCTATGGATCTATTTGCCAGTTTACCAAATCTTACTATAGCATTTCACTAGAGGCTCTCTCGTATGTTTCTATTAAACCAGTACGAATGATTATAGGTATACTCGTTTGTCTTTTTTTGGGCACCATATGTAATACATTGTCTATAATTACATTTTGTCAAACTCGGACACGTGGAATGGGAAATGGTATATATCGATTATGGATTTCAATCATAGGACAAATTGGTACAATAGCAATTACTATTCGTTTACTTCTCATTTTTGTCACAAAAAGTAGCCAATGGATAACTTGTTTTGGTTTAGATTATGTCATTTCTGTTTCGATTGCACTTTATTATTCATTAACAGCATGTATTGCTATTGAACGTACAGTTGTTGTTTACACACATGTATTATTCGACAAAATGCGAAGTCGCAGTGTTGCAAAAATCATTATTCCAATATTGATCGTGTATCATTCTTTGATCGCTATTCATGAATTTTTTCAACGTCGTTTACTTTCTGATCGTTATTTTTCAGATCGCTACTGGTGTTCACTACATTACAACACTCATACTCTAAGTATTTTTGTTAAGATTACGAATGTTTTTCATCTTCTATTCCCATATTTGATAAATCTGATCACACCTATATTAATGTTTACCAGGTTAACAAGAGAAAAAGCAACACTAAACCAAAATGCTACAACATGGTCCAATTTCATAACTGTTCTAAGCACATATAAGCACAATGTGTTCAGTACCTATATTATTATTGTTTTGACAACTCCTCGTATTGTTCTTACATTTTTCCTTACATGTATTACACATTCATGGCAAAATACAATGTATCTTATTGTTTACTTTCTATCATTGGTACCACTCATGACATGTGTTTTTATCTTTGTTGTTCCATCATCTAAATTTCGACAAGATCTTCGACAATTTTTCCAACATACCATTAGGTATAGATCTGTTCGACGATACACTTGATCATTACATTATTATGTACTATCTGTGTGTTACTTCTCTTTTTACTCTTTATGTTAGATGTTTTCGACGATGTACATTTCAATATCATAGGGCAAATTTAAACAGTATCAAGTATATGACAGTATTGTTCGTATCAGAAAGCGAAAACGAATCGATCTCGAACTGATTCTTGAAGAAAGATGACGAGCAGAATAGTATTGGTTGAATTATTATCTATTTTGTAAGAATATTTTTTGATGATGATCAAACGATCTTTGATCTATTGTTTTACATCATTAATTTAATCTCTATATAAGGTTTTCCTTCCTCTTTTCATCATAATTGTACATAATGTGTTGATGACGATCAGTCTTTGGTCAACGACATAAATTTTTAATTCGTTCCTCTCTATTTTTTGCTCATTCTTCTCGTAAAGAACAAACGGACAATCGTCTAATTGACAACACTATATTATTAAGGATTTACTGACTGTCGTTATTTTTTATTCGCACAATTTGAAGATCATTATGTATTATTGCTCTCATAAAACTGTTCACTTCAGCTTGCCAGCACAATGCGAATGACTGATTCTTCAAAAACTCCTTCGCAAATCGAAGTTTTATATTGTTACACAAAAATTGCGAACAATTTTTTTTTCACATGAATTTAAAATTCTCTATCTTCATCACTTGAATAATCTGTTTCAGAATCGTCAGAAGATTTTACACTATTGCCATCCGAGGAATTTTGTGTATCATCGTTACTTTCACTTTGATCTGAAGATTGACTAGTGGTACCATTAATGAGATCATCTTCATCATCATTCGAATCAGTATTGTCTTCGTCATCGTTTTGAGATGTTATTTCTCTAGTTTCACTAATTTCACTGTCAACGAAATCAGTTTCATCAGTATCGCTTGAATATTTATCTTCATTATTGTCTGAAGAATTCTCATCAATATCAAGTAAATTATCGACTGATTGTAAAATAATGAATTCATCTTTTTTTCCTGTAACTTGAAAACGTGAATATGGAGAAAATAGCCATTCTCTCTCTTCTTCATAATACGAAATATTAGTCACATTTATTACTTGATGACATGGTGCCAGGATATGTATCTCAAATAGAGTATTACCGAAACTTCGAGCTACTTCTATGTTTTCTGTTGTTGTAGTAAAACCTGGAAATCGAAAGAATTTTCCAATGGTAAAAAATTGACGTTGTTGATCATTCAAATGCATGCCACGATACAGAATACAATCTTCAGTAGTACTATTATGATTTATTTGATTAGTAGCTCGACGAATAAATGGTATTAGATTTGCTAATATTTTCTTGTCATCGTTCATCAATTGTTCATTGACATATTTGTAAAATTTCATGGAACCAAAATCGAAGTTCGAAGTATATACTTTAATAGTATCATACGCATCCGGTTCATTTTTTATTGATCTTAAAATTGGATGTGAACGATTATTAATAACTTGTAAAGTAAGTAATGAATTAATCACTGAACTACACGACGGACATCTTTCTGTTTGATCATAAAGTTTAAGAAATTGACTATTTTTAAATTGTTCATCTGTAACACCAGGTAATAAATTGAAAAATCTATCTTGTCGTATATGATGCATATTGTCTAGAAGATGATAAAAACAAAAGAATTTTTAAAAAAATGAATAACTTCTATAGAAATATTTTAGAGAATTTCTTGAAGATATCAATTACATAAGCGCATGTCAAATGTTCAATTTATCTCAGTAGAAGATGGGAATATGGTATATAACTGGTAAGGAAGAGCCACAAAAACCTAAACATAAAAATTGTGAACTACTTTTAATCGAAAATAATTGTAAATTCCAGAAAATTCGTTACATCGGTCATGATAATGAGAGAAATTCCAATGAGTGCATCGGGATATAACAGAAAAAAGATGAGCAACAAATGGATACAATTCACACAAAAAGCTACGACCAATGATAGGATCGAAGGAAAACTGTTGAGAAGAAATAAATTGTTTGTTTAGAACTATAATTCGATATGAAAATGTTGTCTTCGCAAGGACTATTGAATAATTAGTATATGTAAATTTTTCTAGAACCTTTTTTGTACGCAAACATACAAGCTAACCTGAATATTGCTATAATAATAATCGAAAATGTTTCTTTGATTCCTTTATAAAATGTTTGTGTATGTATGTCGATATGATGTTGCCAATTTAAAATAAACTTTTAAGATATGATTGATATTACTCGTTTGGTTAAAGGGTTGATGCTCTTTTGAATGGATTCTAGTCATTAGTTTACACAAAAAGTATCTATTTCTAATAGTATAAAAAAATTTTTCTTCTTTGAAATAACTGCAATATTGATGCAAACAAACTTACGTCAGTCAGTTGATTGCTTGAATGAAAGCTGCGAATTTGAATTATATTTGATAGAGATTTTTTTTCTTGTTGTGTTTTCGTATAACAAAGTGGTTTGGAAGTAAATTGTCAATGTAATAAGCACACACTCAAGTTGGAAATTAAAATATACATTCTAATGGGTCATGTCGAAAGAATGATAAATTTTTTTTCAGAGAAATCTCAAGTAGTTAATTACTAAATATAATCATAACATCTTCATGATATTTTTTTTGTCTTACACCTTTTCCTCAGCATTCTTTTTCTGACATTGCTTGTCATAAGCAGTTTCTCTATATTGTAGTTTCCATGTCTCATATTGAAATTAAATTTTTTTAATGAAATTATGAAGTGTTTTTATTGTTGACTTTTGCAATCTTTCGAACCAGGATGTGTCATTGGAAAGAATTCAAAGAAAAGAAAAAACAACCGATAGATAGACATACAATGTCAAGTGTTTCTATGAAGCAAAAATAAAAAAAGAATCACTCAATCAACAATCGGGTGTGGATGTGGATATTATTTTTCCTCTAATTCCCATCCACACCCTCACATGTACATCTATCTATAAATGCATCTTTCAACTAATTAATAATGATTACATTCAACATGTACATATATTCGTGCCATCAATAAACCAACAAAAAATAGTTTTAATGGATCTTATAACACTGTACTCAAAACCAAATCCACTTATACCTCCAAAGAACAATTTAAAAACGGAGGTCAAAAACGTAACAGCGGCTTGTGTAGTGTTATAAATCAATCATTTTGTTTTTTAAATATGTATATATATATTTGTGATCATTTGTTCAGATATTTAAAAATTTTATATTAGACGGAAAGTATAATGAGTATACGTTAACATGTAGCAATAGATAGCTGAGGGTGAGGGCTCGAACATCTCATCAGGTAGCTCTTACTACTTAACAATTAACGAATTCATTGTTGAAGACTACATAGTGATGGTGAAAGATAGTGTGCAGATGATTCGGATTTCCTTGATTTCTTTGGTGTTTTTTTGGACTTGCTGTTTTTTAAGCTAAACATTGCGTTGCTCAACGTATTACGTGAATTGTAATCGAGGTTATTTTCTTAATCAGCAATGAATGTGAGGCTGTCTAATAAGGTTTGCTTGAAGTTTGTTCTTCGTTTAGATGATTGGATATTGTTTTTTGGGGTGAGTTGGTTGTATGAAGACTAACTGGCTAGACGAACAGTGAATGATTTGGGCAGGTAACGTGAAATTGTTCACGGATGAATGTAATCTGTGAAAGACATTTCGCCGAATTGATAGGATTGAGCGGGGATCATTGGTTATTTTTATTTGTAATAGGGCGTTCAATGTGCATTTGTTGTTTCGACAAAAACGTAATAGAGATATTGATGAAAAGAATACTGGAGACCATTATATATGATAGAAATTAGAAGATGAGAACTAAAGGGATCATATTGAATAGAGATTGCTATATAATAACAAGTTTGATGCTCAATTGAACTCAATCCAATCATTATCTATCATTACCTTCTGAATTCTGTTTTAAAAACTATTGATGAATACACATGCATATACAAAAAAAGCTGTATACAGTCAATGACAAAAGTATTTCCTCACTTTTGAAATTTTATTTGTATTTGAACAAAATAAAATTACAATCGTATGATCACATGCGCATGTAATACAAACATTGCAATGTATATAACAATAGAATAGATATTCAAGAATAATTAAATAGCAAATATAAATAAGAAGAAAAGGTATGATCATGAAAAACGTATCCACATAACTTTTCATGTTTGTTTAATATGAATGACAAGATTGTTGAAGACAATTTTTATGTATGTAGAAAGATACACGATATTGATAGTCGAATGATAAATGATTCCATTCAACATTGATTGACAAAGAAATTAGTGGATGTGATAGTTATCTAACGTATTTAATTGTGGATAGATCTTCAATTCATAATAAAAAGAAGTTAATGGAAAGTTTTAATTTAGGTGACCGTTTTGAGATAGATGACATCAAATTTAGGTCATCTAAAACAGCAAAAAGGTTGAGTCCGTTAAATAACTGTATTTTCCATAAATGGTTAGTAAAAGAACATCATCATCCATTAACAAAGAGTAAAATTGTATCCGTGACGGTTCAAGAATGGGAAAAATTTATTTTCAATGAACTTGCTATTTATTATATACACAGTACATTAACAAACATGAAAAGTTATGTGGATACGTTTTTCATGATCATACTTTTTCTTCTTATTTATATTTGTTATTTAATTATTCTTGCATATCTATTCTATTGTTATATATTCTACAATGTTTGTATTACATTCGCATGTAATCATAACTATTATAATTTTATTTTGTTAAAATACAAATAAAATTTCAAAAGTGAAGAAATACTTTTGTCGTCGATTATACAGAGTTCTTTCTGACTTTCAAATTGTGTTTTTAATAATCGATAGAAGATGTTTTTCTGTCGAGTTGCTCGTATTCGATTCTATGTAGCGAAGACAATGAGAAAAGTAATGCTAGTAGTTTGAATGAAAAATGGTACAATATAATGAATAGAAGTGAACACTTGATTGTAAACTGAGACAAAACCAATACCGAAGTCGATCACGCACATGAAGGAATCCACTGGTTGATTTTGAATGGTTGCGTAAAAGATGATTTTATGAATGTGCGTAGCAAGAAGAATGATCGAGGTGATAATAGTCAGTCGGATAGCGAGACGAGCATTTCTTCAAGCGAAGTGAATTAGGAAGAAGAATGACGAAAATACAATCCACAGTGACCCAACTTGTTAACCAGTAGGTTGATCGTGTAAAGACTGACAAGCGAGAGGAAACTAGTCAACATGAAAGTACAGAAGAGATTCCAAAGATGATTTGAATGGATTTGCCAAGTAAATAGAACAAAGTGAGTTGATTGAAACAAGTAACGTTGAGTAAATAGGTACCCGTGCCAAATTTTCGAGGTGTTGGTCGTTTGAAAGTGACAAATGAAAATGAATTCGTGATTAGATCCACGATCACGAGTAGAACAATGATAGAGAGATAGAGAATCTCTACTGATGCTGCAGAGCGACCAAGAAGTGAATCGAAAGTAGAACCAAATGCTTCCAAGTTCAATTCACAACGAAGTGCTCGATGATATAATGGGTAAAAACAAACAAAATTATTGGAATCTGTTTGATCATTCTGAAGACATTTTCCTTCTGAGAGACATTTGTCACAATGATCAAGTTGAGACTTATGAATAAAACATTCAACACGAGAATCATTTGATTGGCAAAGACAAAAATAATTCTCATCATAAAAACATAATTGTTCCGTATTATTTTGACAGATCCAGTGATATTGAAATATGATTCGAATAGATCGATCAATATCTCAACGAAATAAATTTCAATGAGATGAACGTTTGTATTGTCAAGTGAAATTTACCTGAGAGTAACAATCTTGAGATATGTGGACCATCTTGCGGTGACGAAGTGATATTGATCATGGATTGATTCAAAATATACATCATCAAATACTGTGAATGTTGGAAATCTTTGTATATTTTAAGAATTTCAAGAAGAGGCGCACGAGTTTTAGAATAATAGTAAATTATATTTGATGGTGAACCTTGGTGAACTTTCTGATGCATGATTTGAAGTGTTAAAGAAGGAAAGGCAATGAACAGCTGCAAACAAATGGTTGTTCACCACTTCCGTTATAAGAAGGATGACAAGTTTCTTTGTTTTGACATATATTTGAATTACATTGATCGTATTTTAAATGGCATCATGATCTAAAATGATCCAGTGGACAAATACAATGAGGTTTTGTTTCGCTGTTCGGTCGACAGAATATGTTAAGTGCACAATAAGTGTCACAGAGAGGTTCGTACATACTACAATCGATGCCATAATAACCACTTCGACATGAACAGTAGTAAGAATTATTTCGATTGAGAATCGGTAAACAAGTTGAGTTTTTCTTGCAATTATTTTCTCGACAAGGATTGAATGATGGATGTCAAAACCAGTTTGGCAATTTCAATACAATTGTCAGATGAAATGCAGATAGATAGTCGAAGTGGCAAAGCATCAGACAATTGTAAATAACCAGATTTATATTGGTTAGAGTCAACTATACCGTGTAATCAAAGTGTCACTAATGCACAACAACCGGATGAAAGTCGTCGTGACAGGAAATGGTCGAGTTGGATCAATATCAAACCGACTTCGTTTTTCTTGGGGTGTCACTGTGGATTCCATTGAAGGTTACGTGCTCGTGAACGACACAGGCAACTATCATATTCAATTATGTAAATAATTTGTATGTTTTCTTCTAGCATTTCTGTGTTATAGGGCTAGTTAATGCTATAGAAGGCACTACCATCGCAAACATTAACGCACGATCAGGTACTGGTTTCAATCAACTCAAGCATTGTTTAATTCTTATATTTCTCAGTTACATTTATATATTGTTAACACCAGCTGGAGTGTAACAGCAGCGACGGTTCTAGTCAACATTTGTTGCATTATTGATATTCACAAGCACATACATATACATATACATTTGTACGAAACAGCACCAACTGATACAACAATCCCATTGGAAAGTAAAAAAAAAAGAGATGAATGAAACTAATCGAATTAAGTTAGATGGCGCTAACGACACTTTTTCGGCTCTAAGTAGAACTCAATGGATAGCATGTGAGAATGTCCAACGGCATTGTCATCATCATCAGCATAATCATTTCGAGTGCAATCAAAATCGGAAAGTTCGAACGAAGTACAGATTTTTAATGAAATTACACTGTGATTGTGCAATACTTTGCCACGTTGGATGTGATACGTGGCAAGAAAAAAAAATTGACGTTGCTTGCTGACGCATTTATGAATCACCACGTATTTCACCAGTTATATATATATAAGAATTTTGTTGAGACAAATCATACAAGACAGAAAGAACCAAGTGAATATACAACAATGGGTTCATCATGGAACAAGATCGCATCTCTTTTCCCAAAAAAAGAAGAAATACGCGTACTTATGTTTGGTCTCGATGCAGCTGGTATGTATATTGATGCATTTTCATTTCTGTTTTTCTACTATACATAATTATGTCATTTTGTATTCAGGTAAAACAACTGCTCTTTATGTTATGAAACTTGGTGAAGTTGTTACAACTATACCCACGATTGGTTTCAATGTTGAAACGGTCGAGTTTCGAAATATTAAAATGACAGCTTGGGATGTAGGCGGTCGTGATAAAATTCGACCATTGTGGCGTCATTATTATCAGAATACAGCTGCTATTGTATATGTCATCGATTCCAACGATCGAGAGCGAATAAATGAAGCTTGTGAAGAATTACATCGAATGGCCAATGAAGATGAGCTCCGAACTCGACCGATTCTAGTCTTGGCCAATAAACAAGATCTACCAAATGCAATGTCAGTCGATGAATTGCGTGATAAACTTGGAATGAATAGATTGAGTCGTGATACGAAATGGCACATACAACCGACAATAGCCACGCAAAATGAAGGCATTCGAGAAGGTTTCGAATGGTTGGCAGACGCGATCACGACCAAAAAAGTGGATATTTTAAAACCACTGATCGAAACAGCGAATGATTATAAAACGATGAAAGACGATCTTCTATCAATGCTCAGTCCGGTCAATCTAAAAACATTTTTAAGCAAATTCGTTCAGTATTGACTTGCGTTTTAGTTTTTATTTTAATCGATCTATTCTACATAGTCTGTATGTTTTGTTTATATGTGTACACATTTAGAACTAGGCTTTACTCCTAGAATATGAAAAATAAATTGTGTCATAGTTATCTATTCGATTTTAACAAATACAAACCTTTCGTATACTTAATGAGATTTCTTGAATACTGTCGTGAGGAATGAAATGTGCGTGTAAAATTTAAGTGGGGTGTGCGTGTGTGCATCTTCTCTTCGTAGATCCTCATCAACACCCACATCCACACCCTGATGACATCTAATGAGAACATCAAGGAAATCATCTCTGAAATGGGATCAGTTTATGAAGTTTGATCAAGTGGATATATTGTAAAATGCGTTTTGATGGGTGTAGATGTAGGTGTGAGTGGATATGAGTGTGAATCTTTAATTCTTTTCCATCCACACCCACTCTACACCCTTTAGAGCACATTCGACAGAATTATTTCATTACATTTTTTTCCTTTGTTTTACTTCGAGATACTTTATTGTATTGTCATTGGACGATTTTTCTCGACGATCGAGAATGTTTTTACGTATTCAGACTGTGGTAGTGGAGTGTGGGTGGGGTGTGGGTGATGGTGCTCATTTCATTTTTACCTACACACTTACACCCATACTCGTACCCACACCCTAATGTTGAGATTGAGCATCTTGGTGCAGGGCTAACTTAATCGCATAGACACTCACACTCACGTACACCGAAATAAATAAAGTGACTTCATTCAGAAAAGTAAAGAGTGGTAAAGATAAATAATACAAATAATGATGTATGATATGTATTAGACAGTTCTACACACTCAACTATAACAAGTGTATAATCGTACAGTATGCCATAATCAGAAATGTTGGATTCAAGATTGTCGTGTAAAATTCTGCAAACTTGCGTGGTAAAATCGTTAATGCTCTTGTAAAAATTGCATAATATCTTACATTAAGAGATTATTCGATTAAGTATATCTCTTCGAGTCTTGTAGAGTACATCAAACAATTAAATAAGGTATTGATTTCACTTACTGTTTAAAAAAAAATTGTAAAATCTAACATTATAAAATTTTTCGAATTACCTCATATTGAATACGATGACATCCAATAGGACTAATTAATCAATCTAAAAAAAGTCGGAATGAAAATATTTTTGACTCAAACAAGATTCTTGACTAATACTCGTTCATTTTGTTCCAAAAAATGTAGTTACTTTATAAAACGTGATACTGTCACTGGAGATAAATGAAGACACAATATCTCATTTATTTATTTGTCCTTATGATTTAATTAGACATTAAAATCTTCACGTAAGTTTCCAGATTAGTTGCATAATGAAATCTGCTATGTATTTTCATACAATTCTTAAATGAATCGTCGAGGATACAAAAAAAGTTGTATTTTTCAGTAAAACATGGTATAACAGTGTTTAATACCAAGAAAAAGAGCAAAGACAAATGTGTAAAAAATAATGATAAACACATTTTGATTGTACTTCACAATCTACGTTATTAGTGGAAATAGATATAATATTAGCGTAGAGTTAAAAGGCAATAGAAAGTTCATTATGAATGAATTTCTATTCAGTTGCTATCCATTTAAAAGAAAAAGAAGAAGATCATTTTAGAACATTCATACTTCCATGTAATCATGAAAAACTGAAAATACTTTATCTGAAACCATAATAAAATGAATATCAGATCAGATACTTTACATAAAATTCTATTAAACAAATTTTATTTTTCTTTTGACACTTTTTTGTCGTCGCTCTTGCCTCTCCATAATTCATGTGAATGTCTCAGTAGTGCGATGTGTAGTTCTCATCAACAACGTGCAAAATATCAAAAGCATTTAGAAAAGAAAGGAAAAAGAAAAGAAACAAAGCATATAGAGTCGAAAAAGGTGTTGCCACGCTGCAAAAGTAAAAAATAAAACATCCAAAACAAACAGACAAGTTGTCCAAATCTAAACAAAAGAATACTCCAAATCAGAAAGAAGGTTAAATTGAAATCATTAGGAACGGTGGTAAGTAAGCTATTAGGAATATTCGAAATTCAAAGGAGGCTATTTTGAATACATATAGTCATTTTTTTGAAAAGATTATCAGAAAATAAGCAAGAAAAAATAAAACAATAATTCCAATGGTTTTTCTGGAAAAGTTTGTGGTACTAATTAATGAGTAGTTCAAGATTGGATCATATTTATCGTTTTTGTTAACACATACAAACTCATATGTTAGTTGTCAGCACATCTTTTACATGGAGAAACGTTAACACTTACATTCTGATTAGGACACTGCAGAAGTTATAATGATACATTTTTTTAACAGAACTGTTGTGTAGAGTTCCCAAGTGATTAACAAAGTAATAAGAATGATAGCAGATATATTTTAATCCAAAGAGAAGTTTCTATAAGGATTCTATAAAAAGATGCAGCGTATCAAATATATGTTTAGGTTAGAGTAAACAGTGATAGGGTTCACAAAATTATGTGATATGGAAAAGTCCAAAATCCCCAGATTACTCATCTCTTTTAATACACATGTAATCAATTGCAATACTTTTTAGTGCATGCTCAATAATTTGTACTTAGCGAAAAATTAATTTTTTTACATTGAATTATCCAAAAGCTGAGTAAATAATTTAGAAAAACTGCTTTCAATCTTCTTTTGTTCATAATTTATTTGTTGCTTTATATCTGATTCCTTTTTGTTCAATTTTTTACAAGCTATTTCAGTAACAAATACAGTATGGTGGAAAATTATAGAATCACCCATGTTGATCAAACTGTTTGTTTTTTTTTCTGCTAATTTAGATCTCTATGAGAGGTTAAGTCTTCGAGAATATATGTATTCATAGGCGGCGGAGCCACGAGGCTTGGGTAGGATCGAGCCTACCCTAGATTGGAATCGGGTAGGCTCAAACTGGGACAGATAAAGGCTTGGACAGGTTCGAATTATCCTGAATTAAACATATGAAAAAGCTTGAATAGGCTCGAATAGTCTTAGATTGAGGAGATAAAAGAGGCTCAGATAGGCTCTGTTCAATGTTAAAATTCTCTAAAGGGTGGTTCAAAAGTTTCGACCACTCTCTACAAATCGATAGTATCTACAACAAACTAATATGAAGTTATTGATCAAATTACGTCATCTTTTAGAGAAAGATAAGAGTTATCATGTGAAAAAATATTTGGAAATAGATCTGGCATCTCACCAACACTTTGTAAAAAAAAAGAGAAAAAAAGATGCCCAGCATCCTTGAAAAAAAAGAGACTTTTTAATAAAAAAAAAGAGGAGAAAAAAAGGCGTACAGTTTCCTTTCGAAGAAAACTAAAACTCACCGGCACTATAGTACTATAGATCCGACAAAACTCGTACATTATCAGTATAGATTGAATATGACTTGAAAGAGAAAAACAAAAACGAAACTTCCAAACTGTTCGGAGATTTTTGTGCAGCTGCTTATTTATCCATTAGAAAATCGGAAAACATCAGAAAAACATTCTAAATATTCTATCGGCATAGTATCTGAGTATAGTATTACTGTCTAACTAAGTAGGTATATAGAAATAGAAACAATCAAAATTCATTAAATGTCCTTTTTGCGTTTTGTTCCTTTTTTTCGGATGGCTGCGCATGTGAGAAAGTTTTTCTTGCGCTTTTTCAATTTTCGGCAATTCTTCCGTGATTTTGACCATTTTTCGCAAGTCAGTTTCACTTTTACGTTTCTCAACATAAATTAATACATTGGTTGCAACTGTGTCCAGACAGCAGGTTTGTGGGAATCATTTGACCGCGTGCTATCGAAAACGCTTAATTTTTCGCAGTGACATATGATCATCTTCTTGGGTTCTGTATACAACGACTTACTTGTATTGAGTAGATTGTATGATCTCTTACTTTTTGGTTATCGGATACCCCTGTTTGTTGCTGTTGCATTCCATCATATCCTATTTCTTCCAAGTATCATCAAACCGTTGTCAATATTAACCCATGTCAAGCAAACACGCTCGTAATTGGAGAAATACGGCGTTTCATATCGCCCAGTAATGTGATCGTATAAATCCGTGATCGTATGCGCAAAAATATGATCGTTTATAGACAAACAAAGCTCGTCTACACTTTTCGTTTTACTTTGTATTTCTTCGTATACGATTATATTTCTCCGTGTACGGTTTGGAGATATACGAACCTCCAAAATGTGATTGAATACGAAGAAACTCGGAAGAAGAGGAAGAGGGTTTACTTCATTTTCTGATAAGCAGAAATCTTCAACTTATGTTATCATACTATCGGAAGCTATCTTGCCGAACAAATCCCATTGAATCTGACAGAATTCTAGACTGAGTCTAGTCATCCTAGGAACTCTTTGCTTTGAAGCATGCGCTACGCTACGAGTTACCTATCTATTGTTAGATTCATATCACAAGCTTCTCTGGGGCCGAAAAAAGTGGTCAAGAAAAGTGAGCTCGAGATTATAATTTTACACGTCGATCTTAACCAGAATAAATGTGGAAACCTCGGATTTAAACCCGAGAGTTATGTGTACTTCAAAAAGTGAATGAGACAGATGAGTCATCCTGGAATATGTGGACGTAAAGATTATCCTGGCAAACCTTTTCTATAAAGCACTTGAATTCTATTGATTTGAACTCTTCGCCTTGATTAACCCTAAGAAAGTCGTTTTTCTCCTATAGCTTGATTTCTATTGGTTACTGCTCAACCAATAGGATTCCAAGGCAAACGGAGCTTGGATTAGAGTTCTCCGACCCAGAAAACCTCGAACTATCATCTCTATGATCGAAAGACAGAGCTCTAATTGTGGATCAATTAGAGTGTGGACAAGAACAGAACCATTTCCCGTTAAATTATCTTTGCAATAGGTGAGTTAGTCTTCTTATTCCTTTATGTTTTATATAACATTTTGTAGCTCGTGAAATTCTCTATCGAATGGTATATAATAGTTGGGGTTTTGTTTGACTATGATA